TTTATTTATTTATTTATTATGCTCTAGGGTCTATATTTGCCGTTTATGGCGTTTATACGCATCCATTTGGTGTTCTGGGGGAAAAGGGAGAAGGGTTTACAGGTGATTAGGGTTTAGGGTTTAGGGTTTAGTATATAAATTAGGGTTTAGGGTTTATTATATTATATAATTAGGGTTTAGGGTTTAGTGTATGTGTTGCATAGAGGATACATGCATACATGTATAACAACAACAATAACAATCAGATATACCACCCCAAAACCCAAAACCCTAAACCCTAAACCCTAAACCCTAAACCCTAAACCCTAAACCCTACTTGGCTTCCTCTAATATAGACTTGTTCTAAGGAGAGAACTTTGCCATCTTTCTGAGTAACAGTTACTCCTTGTATTAACATATTCATATTATCTTCTGCATTCTCTAATGTACCACGATATAATGAACCTGAATATATATATACACATAAACCCTAAACCCTAAACCCTAAACCCTAAACCCTAAACCCTAAACCCTAAACCCTAGAAAATCATAAACCCTTTATCCCAAACCCTCTATAGGCATATAAGTGTCTTAGAATAAAGGAAGAGAGGGAGAGTTATACTATGCTGTATACTAGGCAAAGAACAGCTGCTACTGCTGCTGCTACCACTGTTGCTGCTGCTGTTGCTGCTGCTGCTGCTGCTGCACATATACTGCATAATCCTACAAGGACTACTACTGCTGCTGCTGCTGCTGCTGCTAATACTGCATAACCCTACAACAACAACAAGAACAAATGCTGCTGCTGCTGCTGCTCCCTCTCCCTCTGCTTTACACCCCTACAACAGCAGCATGAACAACAACTGCTGCTGCTGTTGCTGCTGCTGCTGCTGCTGTAGCTGTTGCTGCTGCTGCTGCTGCTGCTGCTATATAATTAAAAAAAAAATAAGGGTAAGGTGTATAGACAGACCCGTCTTTGTTTCTACGGTGATGGTATGGCCAAGTCCTTCATGAAGAAGTTTAACAGGTATACCTACAGATGCAACTTTTGCCATCTTTTTTTCTTCTTTTTTTTTCTTAATTAAGTATATAAAATAAAAAATAAATAATTTATTTATATTTATAATTAAAAATACAACAAAATAAATGGTTATATCGTACCCCCCACGCATAAATATACACTTTTATTCTGCTGCTGCTGCTGCTGTTGTTGCTCTGTTCCTGCTGCAGCACGATGATTCATGAGGTGTATATACACCGTAAATTAGATGACAAAAAGAGAGGAAAAAAACAATTAATATATATTATTATTATATTTATTTATTCCTTTTATTTATTCTTATTCTTTTTTACTTTTTTTTACTCCTTTTTATGTATATTTATACACCATATACTCCCTTTTATGCACGGACGTTCCCTCTCCTTATTATATAAAAAAGCCCCATTGCATGCATGCATGCATTTCAGGTGTATAGCCACCTCCCTCTCCCTTTTTCTTTTTTTAATATATTTATTTGTATTTATTTATTTATTTATGCATACAGCTTATATAATTAATTATATTATTAATTATATTATTAATTATATATTTATATTTATATTTTATTTACTTTATTTATTTATTTAATTAAAAAAAAAAGAAAATAAGTATGCATAAGATCGCCCCCTCGAGCAGCAGCAGCAGCAGCAGCAGCAGCAAACCCCACTCCCCTTTTTTTTTTCCTCTTTATTTCCCTTTTATTTAATTAATTAATTAATTATTTATTTATTATTTATTATTTAATAAGTTAAGGAAATAAAAGGTAACGAAGATACATTGTCCTAACAGGAGTACCCACCCCCCTCAAGGATACTCGTGCCGTGCAGCCTGCAGCTGCAGCAGCAGCAGCAGCAGCAGCAGCAGCAGCTGCTGCTGCTGCTGCTGGTGCTGCTGCAAGCCCAACAACTAGATATTTTAGAGGAAAAACTAAAAAAAGAATAAAAACATAAAAATATATTTTTGTATATTAATTATATATTTATTATTATATAATAATAATAATAATAATTATTATTATTATTATTTATTTATTTATTTATTTATTATTTATTATTTATTATTAAATAAATAATAAATAAATATAAATAAATAATTAAATATAAATGTATACTAATTACGTATTTTATACACAAAAAAAAAAAGCAAAACAGCAGCAACAGCAGCAGCAGCAGCAGCAAGCAGCAGCAGCAGATATACAAGGAAACAACTAAACAAAAAAAAATAAATAAATTAAATAAACTAAATAAATAAATAAATAAATAAATAAATAAATAAATAAATAAATAAATTAATATTTATTATTATAATTTGTTGCACCAAGAGCAGCAGCAACATCATAGCCAACATTCTTAATAGCATTTGCTGCTGCTTTTGTTGCTAATAAGGCTAGATCCTTGCTGCTGCTGCTGCTGCTGCTGCTGCTGCTGTTGCTGCTGCTGCTGCTGCAGGGAGAAAGGAGACACACTGCAGAGAGACGTACGCATGCAGCAGAAAGAGACATCCTGCTGTCTCTTAACTGCAGCACGAGAGGGGAGAAGTGCAGCAGCAGCAGGGCGTGTCTTGGTCGTCCCCTCCGTCTGCTGCTGCTGCTGCTGCTGTTGCTGCTGTATCTGCTGCTGCTGCTGCTGCTGCGGACACGAATATAACGGAGAGACCGAAGTGTCCCCTCTAAGCAGCAGCTGCTGCTGAGGAGACACCGCAACTCCTTGTATAGGCAGCAGCTAAGTAGGGCCCGCAGCAGCGATACTTGCTGCTGCTGTTGCTGCTGCTGTCTTGCTCGTCCTGCTGCTGCTCCTCCTAGTCCTTGTGGGCAGGTGTACATGCCAATATAGCTGCTGCTGCTGCTGCTGCTGTTGCTGCTGCTGCAGCAGCAGAGGGGCAGCAACTTGCTGCAGCTGCTGCAGCTCTCGCTAAAATCAAAGCGACGAAGAGAAGGAGACAGCACAGAAGAGTCAAAAGACAGAGACGCACGCTGCTGCTGCTGCTGCTGCTGCTGTTGCTGCTGCTGCTGCTGCTGCCGTCGTTGGTGCTGCTGCTGCTGCTGTCGCTGCGACGGACGAGAAGAGACAGGAGGAGGCAATCGTCTAGTCTGTCTCCATCCAGGTCCACCTATCCGTGCAGCAGCAGCAGCAGCTGCTGCTGCTGCTGCTTGCTGCGCCTCAGCAGCAGCTGCTGCTGTTGCTGATGGTGGCTGTTCATCTGCTGCGGTTGCTGGCGTTGCTGCCTGTCTTGCATCCTCTGCTGCTGTTGTTGTTGTCGCTTGTGTAGCTGCAGCAGCAGCAGCAGCATCTGCTGCTGCTGCTTCGGAGGAAGTCCTCATGGGCATGCTGCTGCAGCAAGTTGCAGCAGCAGCAGCAACATAATAATCGGAACTTGTACTTCTCACAGCAGCAGCAGCAGCAGCAGCAGCAGCTGCTGCTGCTGCTGCTGTTGCTGTTGCTGCTGCTTCAGGTGTTAAAACTGTGGAGCTTCCACCTGGACAGTCTCGATGCTGTTGCTGTTGCAGCTGCAGCAGCAGCAGCAGCAGCAGCAGCAGCAGCAGCAGCAGCTGGTGGTGGTGGTGGTGGTTGTGGTGTTATTGTGTTAGTAGTAGTGTGTAATAATAAAGTAATAGAAGAAGAGAAGAAAAAAGAAGAAAAAAAGAAGAAAATATTTGCTGCAGTTGCCGATAATTATTTATTTTGTTGTTGCTGCTGCTGCTGTCTTATTATGTTTATTTGCTGCGGTGCAGAAGACTGTAGCAGCAGCAGCAGCAGCAGCAGCTGCTGCAGCAGCTGCTGCTGCTGCAGCCACACAAAAATAAGATGATGATAGGAGCAGGAGATGAATTGCATGCATAATAAATATAATTAAATATATATTTATATATTTATAAACCCTAATTATTGACATATAATTCATAAACACTTTCTAAACCCTAATAATAAACCCTCTTGCCAAAACCCTAAACCCTAAACCCTAAAACCCTAAACCCTAATAAACCCTTTTGGTGGTATATATATATATAATATATATTATTATATATTTATATATATATATAAATATATAATTGGATAATATATAGTGTATATTTTCATGAATAAGACGAATTATTTTTGATTTTTTTTTTTTCAAAAAAAAAAAAAAAGGGTTTAGGGTTTAGGGTTTAGGGTTTAGGGTTTAGGGTTTAGGGTTTAGTGATATATATATATATATAAATATAAAGAATGTTAACAACAACAGGACAATCATCATTAACATCATTAGAGTGTATGGATTTACCACGATTAAATGCATTAGATCGTGTATTATTTCATCCAATAAAAGATATAAATGAGTATATAAATAAGAAATATAATTCTTTTTCTCCTTTATTTTGTCATCATTTTTTCCCAATAGATGAGAAAATAATAGGTTATAATGATGTATATATACATATATATTTTTCTCCTATTTCTTTTTATGTATATATACATATAAATGGTATTATTAATCATAAAATATATAATCCTTTATTTATATATAATCATCTTATTTATTCATTAATACAACAAGTTCCTTTCCCTGGACAAATCGCAAAAAATCCACAAGAATTCCTACAACATGTTGAACAGGTGCTCCTCCTCCTCCTCCTCCTGCTGCTGCTGCTGCTGCTGCTGCTGCTGCTGCTGCTCCTGCTGCTGCTGCTGCTGCTGCTGCTGCTGGTGTTGCTGCTGCTAATTATTATAATGATGGTGATGCTGCTGGAGCAGAAGCAGCAGCTGCTGCTGCTGCTGATGCTGCCGGATATGTCTGTGCTGCTGCTGCTGCTGCTGCTGTTAATTTGTATGATTATTATTACTATAATGCTGTTGCTGCTGTTGCTGCTGCTGCTGTTGCTGCTGCTGCGTGTTTGCTGCTGCTGCTGCTGCTGCTGCTGCTGCAGAGTGCCAAGTTAAACCCTCCTGGCCGTGTCCGTGCACAGATGCTGCTTCCCCCCAGCAGCAGCAACAGCAGCAAAGATATGCTGCTGCAGATACGTGAATGTGTCTTCTCTTCTACTGAGAGTGGTCAAGAGTTTGCTGCTCTTCATGGGTAAGGGTTTAGGGTTTAGGGTTTAGGGTTTAGGGTTTAGGGTTTAGGGTTTATATTGTAAACATGCCTATGGAGTGTTTATACACATTTTTTTTTGTCTTGAGGGTTTAGGGTTTATTGTTTATTATTTATTTTTTATGCAATTGATTGTTGTATAGATATAAAGGGTTTTAGGGTTTTAGGGTTTAGGGTTTAGGGTTTAGGGTTTAGGGTTTATTGTATACAGGCGTGTCCAATGGTTCCTTCATTGGTTTATTGAATCTGCATCGTCTATACACCCCGATCCTCAATGGTCTGTCTTGCTGCCTGTTATTGTATATATTGATAAAAAAAAAGATCAGCAGCAGCAGCAGCAGCAGCAGCAGCAGAAGCAGCAGCAGAAGCAGCTAGAGCAAGGGGAACAGCAAGAACAACAACAACAGCAAACCATTGAATTAAGTCTCCTTCCTGCTGCTAAGTAAGCTGCTTCTGCTGCTCTTGTTGCTGCTGTTGCTGCTGTTGCTGCATTTGCTGCTGTTGCTGCATTTGCTGCATTTGCTGCTGTTGCTGCTGCTGCTGCATCTGTTGCTGCCGTTTTATTGGTTTTGCTGCTGCTGCTGCTGCTGTTATCGCTGCTCCTTTCCTTTCTCTGCTGCTGCTGCATTTGCTGCATTTGCTGCTGCTGCTTTTGCTGCTGCTGCTGCTGCTGCTGCAGGAAGTGCATAGAGTCTATGCGCACTAATAAGGGGACTAGTGGTTGTATAGTTGGTCCCCCAGCAGCAGAAGGAGACACAAAAGGAGACAGTGCATACACCGCGCTTCCTGTCTTTGCTGCTTATCCTGCTGCATCTGCTGCTGTTGCTGCAGATAATGCAGCAGCAGCAGCAGCAGCAGCAGCAGCAGCATCAACAGGGCAGCGCAACACCAACAGCAAAAAAGGAGGGACTTCTACTCGTGGGACAAAGAAAGAGAAAGGATCTTCTGCAGCAGCAACAGCAGCAGCAGCAGCAGAGACAGAAGAAGCAGCAGCAGCAGCAGCAACAGGAGCAGCAGCAGCATCATCATCATCATCATCATCAACAGCAGCAGCAGGAGATTGTAAAGGAGAACAAGATGAGCATGCACCGGATGCATTACAGCTTCAGCCCCACAACAGCAGCAACAGCAGCAGCAGCAGCAGCAGCAGCAGCAGCAGCTGGGAATTAGCGGGTATATTTACTTTATATACTTTTTATGCTTTTTCTGGTTATAGAAGAAGACTTAGTCAATGTCTTGTATTCCCTCATGTACAGAGCAAAGGTATACCTGCTGCTGCTGCTGCTGCTGCTGCTGCTGTTGCTGTTGCTGTTGCTGCTGCTGTTGCTGTTGTTGTGTATGCTGCTGCTCGTCTAGCAGTTGCTGCTGCTGCACCTCAGCTGCTGCTCATGCTGCTGCAAAGGGTTCGGATGCTGTCTGCTGCTGCTCTCTTTGCTGCTGCACGTTGCACAAGTAGCACCAATATACACACATGGCTGCTGCAGCAGCAGCAGCAACTGCAGCAGCAGCAGCAGCAGCAGCAGGTGTGTCTTTGTTTGTTTGTAGGTATTGGACTGAGGACGTTAGAGTTTGTCTATCAAGATATTATTCTTGACCCAAAGGTTATTGAGGTATGCTGCTGCTGCTGCTGCTGCTGCTGCTGCTTCTGCTGCTGCGGTTGCTGCTGCTGCTGCGGTTGCTGCTGTTGCTCTTGGTGCTTCTGCTGCTGTTGTTGTTGCTGCTGCAACTGCTGCTGCGCGCTGAGGGTGGAGCATGTGATGGCTGCATTTGTTCTTCTTGTTACAATCCATGCTGCTACTGCTGTTGCTGCTGCTGCTGCTGTTGCTGCTGCTGCTGCTGCTGCTGCTGCTGCTGCTGCTGCTGCAGTTTACAGTAGAGGATCCTGCTACATCTTTTTGTCAATTGCGGGATGTTACAACTTTAAAATTATCAATCGATCTGGGGATCGTCTCCCCGGATATGTTATACCCTAATCAGCTGCAGCAGCAGCAGCAGCAGCAACAGCAGCAGCAGCAGCAGGAACAGCAGCAACAACAAAACAGCTGCAGCAGCAGCACCACCAAGGGTATACAACACTGCGCTCCTCCTGGGGTACCTTGCCCTGAATGCTTTAGGAGAGTTCTTAAGGAGACAAAGGCACAAGCCATCAGGTAACAAAGGAGACACTTGCATGCATGCATGCATGCATGCATGCATGCAGCAGCAGCAGTAAAGGGACACTTTGCTGCTGTAGCTATAATATATATCAGCAGCATATTTGCTACATCTCTCCTGGTTATTCCTTTAAACCATTTTATTGTTTAGGGTTTAGGGTTTAGGGTTTAGAAATTAGGGTTTAGGGTTTAGGGTTTAGGGTTTGTGTGCAGATTATCGGAGATTTTATCTCTTGCTGCTGTTCTTCCTGATCCTCCCCCTGAGCTGCAGGAGGAGTCTCCTTCTAGCAGCAGCCGCAGGGATTGGAGACACCCTGTAGCGGACTCTGCTGCTGCTGCTGCTGGTGCTGCTGATACACAGCAGCAGCAGCAGCAGGATACGGCAGCAGCAGCAGGACAAGGATCCGCAGCTGCTGCCCGCCGACCCTGTGCAAGCGGGTAAGCTTAAGTGTGTTTAGGGTTTAGGGTTTAGTGTTGTAGGGTTTGAGCAGTCGGTGACCCCAAATTATAAGATGCTTCTAGGGTTTAGGGTTTAGGGTTTAGGGTTTGTTAGGGTTTAGGGTTTAGGGTTTGCATAAAATGTGTTGTAGGGGCTCGGCTCGTCCGGTATCTTCGAAGCGTCCTGGTGGTGTTGGTGTAGGTAGCAGCAGCAAGACATCACCATTAGGAAGCAGCAGCAGCAGCAGCAGCAGTAGCAGCAGCAGCAGCAGCAGCAGCAGCAGCAGTATATTTGCAAAAGGAATAGATTGTGCTGCTGCACGTATAAAGGTAAAAAAAAGATTAAAAAAAGATAATTATGATTTTTTATCTGAATTACCCCTACAACAACAAAAAACTGAATTAGATAAAAAATGGATGGAAATCTAT